AGTTTCTAATGAATGAAAAGATTTAACAGTTGTTGATCTTTTACATTGAAACCCACACTGATGATCTCCAATAATTTTGTCTGCATATGGCATTGACCCTGAAAGAAGAATATTTAGTACAATTTTGTATGAAGTTCATAATCGCAATATTCCTCAATAATAACTACAGGCAGTTTCATAATTCTTGTCGTAAAATGGGTAAATACTAGACTTTTCCATGGCTGAGACAATTCTTTCATATTCCAAATAGAATTAATGAGTGAATTCTGTTCCTGATGAATTTATGGATCTCAGAATGTAATGTTTCACCTACTGCTTGAATCAGTTTCACTGGAATTTGATCCATACCTAGCAGTTTAAATCTTTTCAACTTTGCAATAGGCTCAAAAGGTATTGGTGATCAGCATATTCGTTACTACTTCTTTCTGATATAATGGTCAAAATAAGATGACAGATCTGGCTTATTATCACCACAAGTACCAAGGCAGGCAAAAGATGAAAGGGAAATAAAGCATTTATCTTTTTACCCATAAATATTATGGGTTCACAGAGACACCTAAGCGTGGATTCACACACTTTGGTCTGATTTGTAAGTTATTTTTGTGATAAGGTACATAACGACGAAGGAAAAGGTAAAGGCAAAGCTATCCCTGTAACAGGCTGTGGAGGTCCATGGGGATATGAGAGGTCGAGGTCCCCACATTTTCTAGACAGTCAGCTCACAGATGATGGTGAGGTTGTCAGCCTTACACTCTGGCTGCCCTTTACCCTCCAGAAAGATTCCTGGTACTCACTCATTTCTGTTACAAGCTGAGTCAACCTCAGGGCCATAGTGCTGCTGGAAGCATTAGATTAATTGAAAAATTCAGTGACCTCATCGGGGCTCAAACCCATGACCATCCAGCTTGTAGCATAGTGCTTCAACCAACTATGCTACTGCATGCCCCAATGATGAAGGTAATGTACTAAAGATATGTTTAATCATTATATTAAACAAATTTATTAATGTGTGGTATCTGTATCACTACCACAAATGTGAATGGTTTACATTATGTTGGGCTGTTACATTTTTCACATCCTGATGGGGAAGATGTGTTGAAAGTTGTATGTCCTGTGTGTTCAGCATGCACTGCCATTAACAACAGTAACTGGATTTTACGCTCGAGTACATGCTTTTTTTTCCCCCACAGTCTGTCTTACCTGTCAGTAAATTTAAATCTACTGTATAAGCCACTCACAAATGTGTCTTGTTTATATTTAGCTACATTATAGACATTTTCATAGGGTCTGCATTAATGCCAGAGAAGGTGTTCAGTGACTTGAGCCTAGGGACTGTACTGTGTTGCTTTAGCACTGACACAACATGATGAGGGAGGTATACACTATGTGAATGAAAGCGAAAGAATATGAACATCCAAATTTTTCCAAATATTTTTTTCATTATTTGATAACCCTGTCTACACTGCAAGGAACATTAACATTCTGCCAGGTTTGGCGTTGTTTTCACTTTTGTGCACGCAGCTGAAGTTTTAATATTTCTTATATATTTTTATATACCTGTTTCAGAATTTACATCTCCTGATTTTGCTGTTCATGCCTGAATGATGGCAACAGAGAATAAATTTCCATCTTAAATTCCCCACGATTTGCAACCAAGCACATGGCTATATTTTCTGTCCGCTCTATGCACAGGGATTCTTTACATTGTTCTGCCAGCAAAATGGATGATGGGGAACAAACCATTCTTTTGTCTTCATTGACACTCTTCACATTAACTGAATTTGGGGGGTTGCTGGCCTTTATTCACTTTTGTTCACAACATGCATACCCACTTTGAACAAATCAAGTATGCACAGAATAAGAACACAGAAACAAAAGAGTACACTATTTAGTAACATAGAAAAGAGAAACAGATCATGGCAAACTGATTCAAAACGACAGTTACTTCCAATATACACAAAGAAGAAAAATTATATATGCCCCACCAAAACATTTACGTATAAATAGCCTAATTACCAACATAACGCACAATGGAAAGAATTCGCAGTCTTTTTTTTAGTATTTTGTATTCTCCATATAGAATGGCACACCTCAAGATGCTACATTTTCTCTTTAAATGAAGCTGGTAAAATGAGTAATATGTCAAGTAAATTTATTGTCTTGTTTGCCATCTCATGGGCAGACAATAATATTTCCTGTTTAAAAAGACTGTTATTCACTTTTCTAGTTGTAATTTCAGTTTATATTCAACTTTCATAAACTACAGAGATATATTTGTGTGGAACAAATAAAATCTAACAGACCCAATAATGTGGCTGTTCCAAATTTATATAAAGTAAATAAGTAAAGTAAAGCTATCCCTGTAACAGGCCGTGCAGGCCCATACAGTTGTGAGACGTTGAGGATCCCACCTTATCTAGACAGTCAGCTCAAAGATGGCAGTAAGGTTCTCAGCCTTACGCGCTGGCTGCGCTTTACTCCCAAGGAAAATTATTTAATTAATTCCTGGTACTCATTTCTGTTAGAGGCTGAGTTGACCCCAAGGCCATAGTGTGGCTTGAAGGATTAGGTCAATTGAAAAAAATCCAATGACCTCATCGGGACTTGAACCCGCACCCTTTCGGCTTTTAGCATAATGCCTCAACCAACTATGCAACATGTGCCCCATTCAAATTTGTATAGGATAAAAAATATTCATGACACTTGCAGCTGGAGTAAACATGGAATAACAAGGAAGACAGTTTACAGAATAAAATTAAAAGCACATTTAGGAGACTGTTAAACAAGATACATCAAAAGTTAAAAACGCTGATACTATATTTAAGAATAAATATATTGTTAAACCTAAGCTGAGAAAAGAATGCAGCACAAAAGTGCAAAGACCCTGAAAATCAGATAACTCATCCTGAATTTGTTTAATACTCAGAGAACTGTCATGCTGTACAGCAGTGATTTTAAGTTTATACCCATGAAAATTCAATGATTTCTTGCTGATAATCTGAGTTCTGTCAAAGAGTGTTCATCCAATTTTATATCTGGTTCTACTGTTAGGAAATGACCATAAAAAGTATCTTAATATATCAAATGTATGATGCATATACAAAAGAGAGGCATAAATGCTTTCTCTAAAGTATGGCCACTTTTTGTTACCTAGTATTTAAAACATGCAAAATTCTCATCCAACAGACAAGAATTTCAATGAAAATTAACACTTTCTGAAGTTATTTGAAAACAAAATTTGTGATGTGCATTATGTTCAACCACTATGCAGTTTTCCCAGCCACCACTAGCAGCGCTGCCCTTCATCTTCCCTCATGCTTGTGCCATTACAGCAGAGGTTTAGCTGGGTTTGTAATTGTGTAACTCTATATGTATCCAAACTCCTATATTGCCTGAGAAGACTCCCACATAAGAACTAAAATGAAATGTACTGTTTTGACCCGGTATTGCAGTATTGTGGTATTCACTGCAACCAAGCCCTTAAAAACTATTTTTAATATTAATTTTAAAAGACCGAAAATGTGATTCACATAAAACTCCACCCCATATATTTGATTGACTAATTATGTGCTTAAACTAACCGCTCATGTATATAGATGAACACTCTTTATTGAAGAAGTTCAGTATTTACCAGAAAGTGGCTTGTGGAAATTTGAGAACCCCATTAGTAATTGATTGTGACTTCCTGTGATAATTTATGCGTTGTCCATTACATATACTTCAGTAATATGTATCAGCAATGTTTACGGTAAGTTGAAATAAACTACATCTTTGCACCCTATTGCAGTTGTTTGATTTATTACTTTACTGCTTTTTGCTCCAACCTACTACCATTAACCAAGGGTTGCTTTCTTATATTGGAAAGATATTTTGTCTCAACTCTTCTGCATTCCAAGGCAATGAGCAAGAGGAGACAAGCAACAAATGATATTCAATATTGGATAGCTTGTATATTCACACCAAAGAAATCAGAACATTCCATCCTTTGTGAACATGTTGGTGAATGAAGTGGTCATTGCATACAACATATTGTGGAAAATGAAGAATCACAAAAAGGGGGTTAAATGCCCTTGAGTGTACTTGCTTTGTGTTAATAATTAAAATCAGCATCTATACTAATGCTTTTCAGCTACATCCTGTGTTGAGTAATCTGGAATGAAACAGTCACAGAGGCATTGATATATTTCTGCTATTTGCATGAATTCAATATTCCATTGTTCTTCTGAGCCATAATTATTGTCTGCTGTAATACACACTGCCTTACACTGCATACTTGGAGGGAACACTGTTCACAACAACAGCCACAAGCAACAAGCAACATGAGATGATACAGCAAATAAATTTCTTACTATCTGCACTGTATATGATTTCAGGACATTTCTAGTTGTGATGTCACAGTCTTACCAGTGTGAATATGTGTCATTAAAATACATTCAGTTACCAAAAGCAATATCTGCAGTTGATTGTTGCCTGTTCTGTCTTATTATTTTCTTCATGCCTTTAGTGACAAGCAGTATATCTAGTGCATTCTACAGTTTATAGTTTCTTACAGGGTTTCAAGTGTACAGCTCTGTTATATATATATATGTCATGTTTAATTTCAGATTTAATGGTAGAATGTTCCTTAGCCTTTCAGTTTTAATTCAGAGCACAAAAATGGCATAATTATGGAAGCTGGATCATCTGGAGCATAACATATAATTCATATTATATTTCCAAGTCTCAGTGTGTTAATGAAATCGTTTAGAATATATTAATAATAGAGTTGTTATGCAGTTTGCCAGGTAGAAATGGAGGCAGTACGTGCTCCCAGGAGGAGGCCACCTATTCACAACATAACTGCAAGTCATTAATTAACAGTAACTTAATTGTACATTACCTAATATCTATTGAATAATAAATTGTTTTGTATATATTTACCCATATTGTCGACTTTCTGCCAGGTCATTGACCCAGAACCTTTCTAGACTGGTATTTGTAGGATTTTGATGAGAATATACTGCCAAGTTAATAATTTATTCAGTAATTAAAAACATAAATAAGCTGATACTTTCCACTGTGTGCAGAAGGGAGTACATGCATCAACCATGTATTCTCTTGTAGGATTTGAGGTTCTCACAGCAGTGGGTATGAAGAGTACTACCTTCTGGTATATAACGCCGTGTAGTCCGTTGAAAGTCAACCGACGTTTAGGGGGAACATATTGCCTCTATCTTGAGGGTCAAATAGGCCGAGGAAGATACCAGCATGAAAGCAGGTGGCAACAGACTACACAGCATTATATCCGGAAAGGTAGTACTCTTCATGCATTCTTTTTATTTTATCATGAAAATCATGCCCAGCCATCTGTGCCCCATTTATAATGCTACTAAAACCTATCCCTTTCTGATACATCATGATCAGCTGTATTATCATAGTCCTGTTATTCTTGTTATTTCAGATGTTGCATCATATGCTAGCAAACAAAAAACAGATAAGAAGGAATTTAGTTATCATCACGTAAATTGAACAAAAATTTAGCTTTCCAGCAGACTCATTGATTAAGAAGAGGCCAATCAACAGTTTTGTGTTAATGAATTATGAATCTTCAGATGTGGTAGATAGCTATGCTGAAGGCAACCAGATCTTTTTAAAAATAAAGAAATTAAAAATACCACTGCTGCATAACAGAGGCCATGCAAGGAAGAAATAAGTTCTCTTCCTCAAGCAAAGACATTCCAAATCAGATATGCAGTAGAATGAAAGAAATATCTGATAATATGTCATAAATGTTGGTATTCTGGCAGAGATTGAAGCCATATTTAATTATTCTTATAGTAATTTTATCACTGGTAATATATTTCTCACTAAATTTCTGAAACAATACTTACAAACAATGAAATTATATATATACATATATATATGAATAAATATATATATATGAATATCTATGAGTAAGGGTCACATGTGCCCTTCAGCCTGTATGTTTGACACCCTTTTTGTATTTTATGATTAGTTTGCTTCAAGGGCTGTTACAAATATCAACTGCTTGTCTTCACCTTTAGCAAAGAGGCAGTTATTAGACACACTTCACATCTGTTATTTCCAAAACATCTTGTATTGGCAGACCTGAACAGTGTTCTAGTGAAGCAGTAAAATGCTGTTCTGAGAAATCATAATTCTACCACGTTATAATTCCGACTTCCATAATGCTTCCTCCTTCACATTTGAGTTCTTTGGTTCTGAGTATACATATTCAGTCAGAATTGCAGTTATTCAGGACTTATTTTCAGAGTTTGTTGAGAGATGTAGTGGTAGTATTTTCGTTTTCCCATTCACTGCCACAGATAGGTCGAGCAGGATAATACACACATGGTCCAGGAGATGGTGCACGTGGTATTCTAGTACTGCAATGCATACTGTTGCTATTTCCACTTGTTGTGCTACCATTTCGGACAACAGTGGTGCCAGTGCGATGAAGGTGGTACATGTGACTGTTCCTAAGAGAATAATTCCTACCATCTCCATTGGACACAACACTATCATCATGAGTGTTAGCATCAGGTGAGTCCCTTCCACCAACACCCATCCATCCACGGGAGCAAAACAGTTTCAGAAACAGTCGTTTGAACTTCTCCCCAAATATAACATATATAATGAAATTCACAGAGGAGTTTATAGTGATCAGCATGTCACTGGTTCGAACTACTTGATCCAGTGGGCTGCCATAAAATGCTTCAAGTACATTGTTAACTAATGCCAGGATGTTGCACAGGAAGAAGACAACCACCACACATAATAGCATGGTAGCCAATCCAATCTCTTTCTTTTGCTGTCGTGACAGACGCTGACGTTCTTGGTTTGCACGACGTACCTGTAACACCCACATATGAAAAAGATAAAAATATGGATCTCTTTATGAAATATATTACAGTGGTATCAGAAAGTAACTATTAGCTTTAAAAAGCCTGCTTTGTGGAGTTAATTAGTTACCCCGTAGAAACCATTTGCAAAATGGCATGGTTCTCCGAAGCGTTCACTAAATTTATTATGGTGACCTACAGGTGGCCAAGTTTTACAAAGGTGGGCTGTAACCAAGAATATGACAGAATAGCCAGCAGCCACCGGAATAGCCACCGGAATAGCCACCGGAATAGCCACCTTAGCTGCTCTCTATAATCTGTTTCATAAGCTGCAAGGCTCCTGCCATGGATTTAAATTACAGTCATTTTCTTGGTTTAAAAGAACAGCAATATATTTTTCAGTTCTCCTTTGGTACATTAAACTTTTTCCTAACCAGCACCAATAATCAGGCTTGGAAATGACTTTGAAAAATTATTTTCCAAAACATTATTCAACAGACATGGAGGCAGCCATTTCTCAGCACACAGACTAAGTGCAGAAATGCAAAATAATTTTTGTGCTCTTGATAATTAACAACTAAGTTTACTTTATCATTTACCTGTTGGTAAATGGCAGCATTGAGGACTGCTAGACTGGTAAATGGGAGGAAGTAAATAAAAATGAGGTAAAGCCAGTGGATGTAAATGGAGATGTAGACAGGGTTGTCTCGGAGCTGGGTCATACTGACTTCATACAAAGTTGTGTTGTATTTGGAATCATAAGTCAGTTCCACAAGTTGCACTTCCCAGAAACGTGGCAGATTGTACAGGGTTGAGAACACAATGATGAGAATGACATACAGACGTGCTCGCCCATATGTGCACATAGACCTTGCTTGCAGAGGGTGACACACAGCAACGAAGCGTTCCAGGGTCACAGTCAGTGTCAAGTACACTGACACAGTTTGTGCAATGAGGGCAAGTGGATAAATGACACGTACCAGATGTGGGTAAACCTTAACAAAAGGAAATATTTATGATCAGTTACATGAAAAAATATACACATTTAAAATCTTACCTGTTTACTATATGGGTGTGAAACTTGGTCTTTTACAATAAGGAAAAACACAGATTGAGAGTGCCTGAGAATAAGGTGCTGAGGAGAATATTTGGATTTGTGAGAAAGAAAGTAAGAGGAGGATGAAGAAAACAGCATAATGAGAAGCCTTACAATTCATATGCATTACCATATTTTATTCATTAATTAATTAATTCATTTATTCAATGGCTCTACAGCCCTCTGTTGGGCCCTGGCCTCTTCTTTACTTTTATAATCTTCTTTATGCAGACAGTAGGACTCCTTGGACAAGTGATCAGCCTGTCACAAGGCCACTACCTACACACAGGACAACACAGATAAACGCACACACAGACATCCATACCTTGAATAGGATTCGAACCCACAATCCCAGCGTTCAAGCAAGCAAAGGTAGTTTATGCCTTTGACTGCATGGCCACCATGCTCAGCGCCATATTTTATTAGATTGTGCCTTTGACCACATGGCCACCATGATTGGATAGACACCATATTTTATTAGATTGTTCAAAGCAAAGAGGATGAGATTGGTAGGACATGTAACATTCTTAAAATCTGAGAAATGTGTACCAGATTTTACTCAGCAAACATGATGGGAAAAAGTCAGTTGTGAGACAGTAGCGATGAGGATTAATATCAAGATTTATCTTCAAGAAACAAGTTATGAGAGTGTGAAATGGATTCAGCTTGTTCTGGAGATGACACAGTAGTGGGCTACAAAATATTTTTTTGTACACTATGAATAGATTTGCTATTATATTTTATTTTAAAATATTTATATCTGAATAGTATAAATTCATGTTCTTGAAGATTACACAATTTTGGCAATAATTTTTCCTGTCCAGAGGAATCTGTCCAATTATTAATAGTCCACATTGGACCTAATTCAATACTTTCATAAATTTGTTTTCCATCTATGCCATGGACTAAGTTCTTGGTATGTTACAGCTACTGTTATTAAAACTGTTCATCCAATCCTTTGTCTGATGTCCCTGACATCATTTACTCTTTGGTTTATTCTGACATCAGTGTAAAGATTTAGTTTACTGACCTTCTTTCCATATTTTCTGGCCATTTATTTTAGCTTTTTCATTATTGTATTGAGAGCCATTCCCTGTTCTTCTTTAATATTTTTGTTACATTTATGATACATGAGTGTGTTTCCTGTGACTACTGTGAGGCAATACGTTTAGACAGTCTCTATTTTCATCAAAGATGAGAAGTATTATATTTTTAAATAACCCAAAGAACTGTCTTGATTTTGATAGGAGATTTATTCTAAGAACAGATAAGGTGATTGATTTAAGTTGTATGTCCTACTATTAAGCCAAAGCAGATTAAAATATTTGTAGATATTTCTGAATTGTTGAAAGCAATAAATGAATGTTCAAATATACATTTAATATTATTTGGAATAAAATATGCCATTCGTTAGTTTTGGTGGAAAGTCGGATTCTTATCCTAGATCCCATCAGCACTCTTCACAGTGAGTCTGAACCCAGCAACACACAATCTTTGCAAACTCTTGCTTAGTCTTACCTTGAAATAATATATGAACAAGTATCCTGTATACTTGAAGATGGCTGGAATACCAAACAGCAGGACAGATGTTATAATGAGCACAGTGTCACATCTTGCTAAACCAATCAAAAGATAGTTAATAGAAGATTTCATCTGAGGACGCGAAAGAATGATCATAGAAATGATATTACCAAATATACCCAGAATACCAATAACGTTCAGTAGCACACCATTCGTCACAAACTCATATAAAATCTTCCTTTTGTCCTCATCATTGGATTCTTCATACAACAATCCACTTAGGTTCAGAGTGTTACTAATGTTCATTCTGCTTCTGGCCTGTTGTCAACCCACACTAGCAAGTTTCTAAAATGTCACTAGAATTTGAAACAAAACATTTCCTTCCAGTGGTTTTTATCGTCTGAATGACAGATCTGATGAGGACTGCAAGGTGAAATATGTCAGCCATTGCATTATCATCATATCAGGTCAGGCAGGTACTATAATTTTTCTTTACAAATAAAATATTAGATTACATCTTGAACTATAACATTTAGATGCAATATTATATTTTGAATTTACAGTGTTGAAGGAAACCAAGAATTGTGTGTAAACTCAATGGATCCATCATTCTGATGTTGGATTATATCTTTCACTAACAGATCTTCTGCTGATGGGCAAAGGTGGTGCTATGAGATGAATGCATATCTTCAGTGGGAATGTTGCTCATCAAACTCTGCTCTTTATCACTGACTGCCTGTAAAAAGAAGATACAAGGATGTTAGAGTCTCTTATGATTAGGGAGACAAAGTGAAATATAGTACAGGCAATATAAACAATATACATATCAAATGTAAAGCAATTAAAATGTTCAGTTAATCACGTGTCCCCATTTTCCCTGACATAAACAAAGTATTCTGATATGGATGTGGAATTTCATGTTGCACTCTAAGAAATGAATAATAATTGAAAGTGTTTGAAAACAAAATGCTAATAAACTGGCTGAGTAGTGAAGAAATATATAAAACAAAGCACATAAATACAGACACTTTCACCCAGTTTCCTGGAGTTAATTATATCAAGGAGATTGGCATTTACTGTTCAAGCTTCATGTGTCAGCATAAGCATGACTAGGGAATAAAATAAGAAGTAAGGACTTTTCTGAAAACATCCCCAGTAGTGGATGAGTTATTCAGAAATGCATGTAAGAGGATTTTTTTACTTTTCTTTAAGTGAGAAAATACTGTTTCATGTAGACCTGTTGCTAGGCAACGACCCTGAAATAAGCAACTATAAAACAGCCATTGCTAAGTAATGGTTCTGCAAACAACGGCCGTTGCTAGGCAACTGACACGAACATAACCATTACAGTACAATAGAGGAACGGTGTTTCCTACGCGATCCGTTCTGAGATGTTATAAGCAGGGCCAGTTAACAAGGGACTCGGACCCGAGAAAGACTGCGTTGGCCAGGACCAGCAGCATATGTAAAAGACAGACCCGTCCTCTCGTCAGAGAGGGCGCCCCACAAACGCAAGACCGTAACTGTCAAACAGTAATAAATATCTGGTCATGACCCCAGATGGGGCTTAACACCAAGACTTACTGACTGACTAACCGTCAGTCGCAGGTCAGTCAGTCAGTCAGGACTTCGGCCCTGTAGGTTGGTCCCCGCGTGAAGGCGGGTTTGAATACCTCCACCATAGCCCTGTGAGTCGTAGGAGGCAACGGAAAGGGAATCCAGAGCCTGGGGTTATAACTGGGTCATCCTGTTCCTGGGGGCTACAAATGCGGGGACCTGGCCCTCCAGGTTAGAGGAGTCTCAAATCTGAGACAGTCCCGCGGGACTCAGAAAGCAGCAATTGTAAACGACAGACCCGCCCTCTCGTCAGAGAGGGGGGCCCACATCAACAAACCCGCAAATGTCTGGCAGTTATAAAAATCTGATCTTGGGTCCCAGAACCGTGCTTGACACCAAGACAGACTGACCGACTAACCGTCTGTCATAACATAACTTTGACTCTGTTGCAGTCAGTTGATTGATGAGTCAGTGAGAGAACTGCTGCGGTTGAGTTGCTGTGAGCTGTTGCTGCGAGAAGCTGGTGGTAGCTGAGGCTGGGGACCGTTCGGAAACACAGAGGAAGGGGAACGCCTGCCGTTGAAAGCCGCTTCCAAGCAACGGCAGTTAAGACGTGACTGTGGACACAAATGTGTGTATGTGTTATAGTGACCTGTAAGGTGTAGTCACGCACTGTATCAAAGGGTCCAATAAATTCGATCATCAATCCAAAACACGTCTATAGTCACACTCCATAAAATTGTGTCAATATTATGGGTAGTAAAATGAATGGAAGATACAACAGATAAATTTGGCCTACTGCAAAGTCACGTGGACCATTAATAAAATGCCATTTTATGGCAAATCAGAAATACAAACACAGCGCACAGTGTTTATATGAGTACATATAGATTCTAAAGGGTTATGACGATGCTGTATAACACTCAGAATTACTGGGGTTTTCTACTTTTCCATCGTCTGGTGTTCTAAAACTAGCGAATGCAAGGTTTCGGAAACTGGGTCTGTTTCCGTCCTCAGATAAAGGGGGACACTTACTCTGTTGGGTCCCATACAAAGAGCTAACCTTAATCACTGGACCAAAACTTTGTTTTGTCTAGTTTTTAGAATACCGGACGATGGACAGAGCTCCAAAACCCAGGAATTCTGTCCGAGTACTTGTGTCGGTACACCCTATTGTGACCGTCCGTTTTTATCAAGCCCAGAACTGCTACGATGGCGTGTATAAACTTATAACTAAAAAATGGAGGAGAGTCATTCTTTAGAAGCTAATTGTTTCTTCGTTTGTCAGTAAGTTTCCCAGCATTTGTATAATTCTTAGATCATTACCTTGTTCTCTAGATCTTACTTTGAGCCAGATGAAAACTCCATATACCCACACCCTATTTCTCTTAGGAGTAGTTTAATATTATTTTCTATGTATGTGTAGGTCTCCCAAATGATCTTGTCCTTTACAGTTTTCCAGATTTTCGTGTATGTAACTCACATGTGATAGTTATTATTTGTATGTTGCCAGTATCCTGTTTCATGTTTCATAAAAATCTGCTCAAAGAACTAAAACAAATACATAATACAGTGGCTCAAGTAGGGCCATAAAGTGTAAATAAAAATGTCTCGATAATATTTGTTGTACTGAGTCTTCCATATAGAATTTTAACTAAATCGGTACATTATTTTGGGCCATGTCACAACAGGACTGTTCAAGGCACGAAACTAATTGGAGCTTTGAAAGTTATTTTCTCTCGAAAACACTCAACAAATTACATACTTTCAGTAGCTTTGTCAGAAACAATTGTATACTGTGACATTTATTATTTTAATAAGGTATTATGGCATTTCGGAAATGTTAATATGGCTTGTGATTACGATAATCATACCTAAATGTTTCAGGTCTGTCATCTGTCCCATGTTTGATATTAATTTTAATCTAATTAAATAGAAATGCTTCAGCAAAGGCCTAATAAGCTATAGAAAAATACACAAGAAAATAATTCTGAACTATACAAGTCATGTAGATTCTAAAGGGTTATGATTTAGTAATTCTAAACGAACAAGTCATCTTTACACTATTACTCATACACTAACAATTGTTAACTTGTTCCAAAATAATGAACGATTTTTTTTTCAAAATTATTCGGCAAATAAAATTTGAATATATACTGTAACTGTGATGCCAGAGACAAGCCTGGTTACATACATCAGGACAAGTTTCCGTTTGTTGCTGTCTTTCAGTTGAAGGAGGCTGATTTACTGAATGAATTACTTGATGGGCTCTCATTCTTCTGTCTCTGGAGCTGTATTCCTTCTCACCTAAAACATACAAATGTTTATACAAATACAAATTCTCCAATTATGTTGTGACTAGATTCTATACACATAGCTTATGAAAGAAAATTAAGTTAAATTAGGCTATGCAATTCTGACCAAGCTTCCAACTGGACTGTTGGTGGTCAGGAGAAAGAATCCCTGAAAGAAGGGCTGCTATTCTTATTATTAGGTTCACAAACCCTTAACGTCCAGCTCGTTTCCGATACACCGAAGGTCAAGAAATGCAAAATTGTGTTTTGTGTATGCGTGTCGTTACTTCGAGGGAAGAACGCGAATTACAAGCCATTGTAAGAAAGTGTTCAGGAAGTGATTTGTGTCAGAGAAGGATAAAGTAGATGGGCAATTAGAAACATAACATGACGAGGCACTTAGCAATTTATACTTTGTTCAGAATAATCAAATATAGGCAGCTGCTATTCGCTGGAAGGGGATTAAGGAGGATGAGTGAAAATGTAAATAATTATGTTTGGAGGAAATGTAGAGAAGTGTCAGTTCTGGGTATCGAGGCCTAGTTAGGAGGATTACATTAAAACTGATGTTAATAGGACAGTGTATGTGGCCTTGGGTTCAAATCTAGACCATAATAGGATATTTTATTATAAAAGGGTTTTATAAAAACATGATAATTATTTGACTAGCTCAGTGACTACTAGCTTTTCAAGAAGACTAGATAGTCATTATATGCAGGATGCCGGATATCTGATTTTGGTGAACAAAATATCAGCAACATGATATAAATATTCTCAATTCAGATCCTATTAGAACTCTCCCTCATCTTACCATTTTTAGTTATAATTTTATTTCTTTTTGAGGTTTTATGATTGGAAGTTCTGACTATAGCTGACAAGTTGTAATGTATTTATCTCAAATCGTATCGGGTATCACTCAACTGCACAGTGGTAAATACTGCAAGATTTTAATTAATGCAGCTTGTAGATCTAATTTTCTCCTAAAACGAGACTTACACCTTACTGTAATTGAATCCTCAATACGTTTCAATTGTCATATCATGTCCCAGCTGAGTTTCAATCTAACTGCAAGTACACTCAGCTAAGAAACCTTCTCCATTGAACCCAGTTCATTGATTTAATTAAACACTGAGCTACAAACCCCAAGTAGAATTATAGGTCTGCTTATCTCTTCCTATGCACAGTGCACTACTCAGCAGACTGACTAACAAAGATTTCTGCCACAGGCGGGATATATTCGGGAAGTTAAATTAATCTGAACAATATTGTAATAATCTCATAATATGGCGATTTAGATGATCTGTTTCAAATTCCTCAGACAGTGGAAATACATTCATTCATTCATCTGTAATCTGTCAAGACGACAGGTCCACAGTCTCTTCCAAAACAGTTCCTCCACTTGATGCGATCTAGAGCTTTCTCCTTCAAATGAAAATATCCTCTTCTGTCCCCAAGGTCATCCAGCATCTTCTTACGTCTTCTTCCTCGTCTTCTGGTCACTTCTATCCGCCCCTAATTTATTTATTTCACGAAAGAATGCGTGGTATGTGAATTGTTTATTTTTATATTTTAAAACTTGCCTGTTGGAATGATCCAAACGACCTAAAATATTTCACACCTGGGATATAAATAAGACATTTGGTAGGCCTACAAAATATCGTCATGTAGGTACAGGTAATGGTGAATGAGAATAAAGAATTCAAATAGGCCTATGTATCTCAAGGGTTTCAACAAAAAGAAAACTTCGAATATTGCCTTTTACAAAGAGTGACCAGAGATATGCAGAATAGTTTGTGAAAACTGGGATATTGTAGGCCTAGCTACAGCCATGTTATGGCCCTGGGGTTGACTTAGCCTCTAACAGAAATGAGT